ATAAATAAAAATTAAACCAAATCAGGCAAACTAAATCCATTTAGGAGGCAGGAAATGTTCCACAGTAATGAAGTTTGTGTCTTGAAGCCTGAAGATCCTGTTGATCCTCTACCCTTGTGCTGGCTTGACAACTGGTTCCTAATAGATGTTTAAATATGAAGAAATAATCTCCCTCCTGCCATGACAGCTTCTACAAATATTCTTTTTCTTCTGGTGTCATTCCACCCCCTGAGCATCAGTACAATGGGTGGCTTATCTTCATTAATCAGAGTATGAGCAACTCATTGAACACATGAGTCTAAGCTTCCACACTCCTGGTTTTTCTCCTGGGCTGGCAAGTAAATGGTACTGAAGGGGTAGGTGTGGTGGTAGGAGAGGAAGGGTGGTTCTGGATCAGTGTGTAAGCCTGGCAACTGAAGGTCAAGCTCATCTCTGCTTTTTTTTCCTTGGCTTAAATTAACATCACTGCCCTCATTTCCCAGCTGAGAAATGCAGCTCTTGCCCCTTCTCACAGGGATGGGTAAGCAAGCAGAGAACAGATAGAAAAACTACACAACTTTCAGGTGCTTACAATAGCAAAAGCTCAAAGAGTAGAGAGCTTCCGTTGAAATTATGGGAAAAAATACATCATGAACATTTGATGGCAAAGCTGACCTCCCCAGACCTCTGAGGAAATGAGTGATCCCATTATAACAGAGCACTCGGAGGCTGAATCAGAGAGGGAAGTGACTTGCAGGGGAGGGCGCTGCCAGCAATAGGGGCAGAGTGCTGTGATAGCTGCCATGAAGCACACATGTGCACCCAGCAGGAGCTGGGTCTCCAGGGCAGCTGGGGGCTAGCCCTCCCCTTCACAAAGGACCCTTGCACCCTGTCCTACGGCTGCATCCATTTGCTCCTGGGCTCAACAAGCCCCAGCTCAAGGAGCTGGAACCTGCCCTAGGGTCTGTGTGAGGCTTTGACAGGGAATGTGGTGACACTGGGAGGTAGAGGTGTGCTTACTGGAAGAGCTTGGATGTGGTTTTGTCATCGACTTGCAAATACAAGTGTGCTGCTCAGCAGTAACCACTAAGCCCATCATCTTCCCCACAAGGTCTAGCTCATCTCTGGGCAACACATCACTTGACCACTGCCAGCCCTGTTGCATTAGTCTCTCAGATGTTTTTTCTGTAATATCATTTTAGCTTACAAACCAGGAAATGGAGAGGAAGGATGTCCTGGCTCCTCCGCTACGGCAGCGCCTGAGGGTTGGTCACAGAAGGTGACCAAGCTTTCCTACATGATGAAAGCCATGGTGTAGCCACACTTCCTAACCCAACCTGCCCCAGGTTACTCAGAGCTCCACCTGGGGCTGTTTGATAACAAATAAGGGGAATTACTGTAGAGTTTCACCACAGATAAGTTGAGACAATTGTTGCCTTCTGCTCCATGCAGTGTTTTGCTGCTCAGGTGGCTGCTGTGGCACTCAGCAGGGGCTGAGATGGCAGGAAGGGCTGGTTTGAGAGCAGGGCAGCTAAGGTGACGCCCCTGTGAGATCAGTGGAGACACTGTCCTGGGTGCAGCAATTGCCAGTGAAGGGACGAAGGCAAACAGCTGTGACAGACCTCAAGCATCCTTGGCTAGTACAGGGACAGGGGGGACATTCAATCTTGCAGGCTTTGGAAACTGGAGCTGCACCCTACTTCAATGGTTATGCAAAGAATTTTATGTATTTATTTTCTTTTAGATTCAAACCTTAACTGTACACACTAATTTTTATATATTTTTTTTTTAAAATCATGGGGAAATCCCCCCCTCAAACCTACAAAACTTGGCCTCACTCTGTCCTCACCTAACAGTCACATTTCTTTGTGATACAGTGACCCCCAGGCTAACAGTGCCTCAGAAGCTTTGGGGAACTTCTCAGAATTAGTTTGTGATTCCTGAGGCTCTGTGAAACATTCATTAAAGCTCCAGGGCAGGTGCAAAGACAAATTGAAGCTGATTTGCTCCTTCAAGCCTGCCAGCTGCTTTCTCTATCGTTCCTCATGCCTGCTCAGTTTAATCCTAAAAAGTTACTGACACCTCTTCTGGTTTTCTTTATTGTGCTAGTTGCAAGTAACAGCAGGCAAATCCAAAGGCTGAGAAGCAATGACTAGCCCTACTAACAAAAACAATTTTTCCTTGCAGCTCCCTTGAGGTAAGAACACATCTGACCCTTTGATGTAGTCGTCAGGGATGCACTGAAAACTTGTCAAGGAAGGCATTTCCTAATTTGGGAGGGGTCACCTCATATAGGAAAAGAAAGCTCCATTCTGAAAGGAAAAAAAAAAAAAAACAACAAACAAACAAAACCAAACACACAAGAGAAGGGTGTGTTCCCTTGGAATGGTTTGGCTCCATCTAGTCTAAGGACCCTCCTTACCTCAGGGGAAAAGATATTTATAGTTTGGGAGTCAGTGCCATGATGAAGACTCCTCTGCCTTTGTGTCTACATGAGACAGGGATTATTTGAAAGCAAGACCTTGTGCAGATGGAGGGTTGCGTGCAAGAAGGGATGAACTAAAGACTTCCTCTCCTTTAAGGTCCATGTCTAAAGGAAGCATCCCTGTCTTACGCACACATCTGTTTTAAAATCACCTTGCTAAACTCAATTACTAGTGCCAGTACATGAGTGTACACTGGTATAGCTTGTTCTGGCAAGTTAACAGGAGCGTCAAACAAAATTATGTACAAAACAGGCATCTATCTAACATAACTCGCTCTTCAGCTAGTGGCCAAGCAGTGCTAAATGAAGAGCTGAGGGGAGAGCAGAACTGCTTCACCGTGCGGGCAGGGGCCATGCTCCCCTCTCATTGGGTTGAGCAGTCCCATCGCCGCCTTCCTGCTCCAAGGCCCATCCTCCTGGCTTTGCCATCACCACTGCAGTTGTGCAACCTCTGAACACAGGCCCCAGGACACCACTCAAACCACCCTCTGCGTGACTGCTGCCAACCTAGCTGCAGCCAGTGCTATTCCAGCACAGATGTAAGCTCATAACCTCATAACGTATCAAAATATAGAAAGTATACTGGTAGGATGATGCCAGACCAACTTGCTATCAGATTCTTGGAGCAGAAGACAGAGGGTAACTTTTAGAGGTAAATATGTTTAAGGAAGGTAAACAGGTAAAACTTGTTTAGGGTACAAGTCATCAAGAACAAGTTAGCTGGAGTTCTCTGTGCTGTAGGGGATACACCTGAAAACTGAACCATCAGGGCTTGGCTTTGTAGCTGCCTCCAGTGCTGCCTGAACAATTCCACACCATTGCTGCGCTCACCACTGCTTTTGAGTTGTGCTACCCTTGGCTCCCACTCTGCCAGGAATAACGATGACCAACCAGGCAGCTAAAGAATGTGTTCTGTAATTTTTACCTTTGTGGGTTCAGTTACAAAACAGTCTGAGTGCATTCAGGAGCACTGTAAATTCCAGCCCTGTTGGTGCCTCCAGCAGTACAGAAAACCAGTCCCAGCTGCTGAGCTAAAACTACCATCTACACATTTAGTCTCACACCTTCCCTGACCAGTTATAGATACCACTCTCTGAAGCTGTTTATTTTTAAGGGAGAAGCCACTTTTTTTGTGTGTTTGTGTAGAAAACAAGCACAGGAGGAATCAAAACATCAAAAGCTTATTCCCAAATCTGCAGCCACTTGAAAGACTGGGCAGCTGTGTGAGGTTTTACCCTACAGCAAAGGTGAGGCACTGTAACTTACAACTTAGTTTAAGTTTCACTATAGATTGAGTCGAGTTATTCTCTCACACTGGCTCCAAGCTGGACACAGTTATCCGAAGCCACCTGCCCTATCCTGGCTGGGACATGTACCTGAGCCCTGAGGCAGCTCTGGAAAGTTTCGGGACACGCTGCTAGACCTGCTGATTCTTTTTGGCTACCACCAACATCCTGCCTGGGGGATAAAAAAGTAGCTCATGCAAATGAAAGTTAATTTTTTTTCTAGAGTGATTTCCATTCTATGATACATTACATTGGGACAAATGCTCAACACCACCTTGAAATCCATCTTCAAATCAGTAGAATTGTTTCAAGGGTTCCTCCCAGGTACAAGCTGGGATGGTAGGGGCAGCCTGCCTGAAGCACTAGGGGCAGAGGCCACTGACTGCAGCCCCTGCCTTGTATGGCCACTGAATGCAGCCACTCATTCCTCAACACCTGGTTCTTCTGAGGGTTTTGTCATCATTGTTACTAAGTCAAAGTTTGTTAGTTTTGGCTCTAAACCATTCCCTACTTAAGTGAGACAAGTCTCAGCAGCAGATGATTTAGCCACCACCTCAGCTATGTAGTATTTCTTTCGGAAATCTTCAACTCTACACTCTACTTAGCAGCAGTAACTTTAGTAACACATGTCAGAGTCAGCACTGATTCTGGGTTGGAAGTGTCCTAGCAATCCCCATATGCAAGTACCCAACCAAAGACAGAAAAGCAGCAAGCACACAAGCTCAGAAGGGATGGATAGGAATATTCTCTAAAGGAGAACTTTTGTCCTGTGCAACAAGACAGACCTCTACCCTCAGCAGGATCACACTGACTTACAGGAACACCCATGAAAGGAAGACATGGAAACACAAGGAGGAGTTACTATTCTTTCACATATACAATATTCCTCTTGGAAAAGTCATTTTAATATTGCATAACATTGGGAGAGGAGGGCTTTTGTCTACTTCAAACACTGCTCATGATGAATTTATTTCTTGCAAGGACCCTGGTAAAAAGTTCCTGAAACCCGGAAGTGAGAATACACATCTCTTGTCAGAAGACAGACATAAACCTCTTTTTTTTTTTAAAAAAACTTTTTTCTCCTTCACCCATGGTGTGGCCAGATTGAGCTCTGGCTCACACACACATCCACAGTTGCAAAAAGAAAAGTTTTAAAATGGCTAATACCAATTTAATAAGTCACTTCCCTCCAAGGAGGATGCATGCTACTAAGACACAAAGAACAAAACTGCATCTCCCATCAGCCACCATTTCATTGGTTTTATCCCAGTTTAATAGACGATTTATCAGATATGTGCAAGACAGTTACCTCTAACAAAGGGGAGGAAAAAATAAAAATCACAGCAACATATACACACAAAACAAGATACACAAAATAGAGCTAAATTTATATACTGGTTATTAGCAGCTAGACTCTTAACTTCATTTAGTACATGGCTTTACTTACTACAGTTTTAGGCACAGAGAAGAATTCACCAGTAGGCTATTTGCTATAATGAAGGGCCACAATGAATACCTCGTTCCAAGTCCTCACTGGGCAGAAACTGGTTTTACCTAATGAAGATCTAACTGTCACTTCCCACAGGTTGAGGATGCAGCCCTGCACAAAGGATGAAAAAACATGATCCAGCTAATTCAGCATACTGCAACTTTATACTTTAGATATTAAACATCTATATTTTTTTTAAATAGGGTTATGTTACAGAGTTATTGAATAGGACTGAATTTCAATGAAGCAATTAGTGCCAGGGTTGGGTTTTTCTTTTCCCCTATTTGCTTAGTATGGACTCAAACTGTATACAACACAAAGAACAACTGGCAAGAAATGATTAGATGTGAAGATTGCTTTGAACACACTTCACATTTATAATGAAGAATATGCTTTAACAGGATTTAAAAGCACAAGTGTCATGAAACATTTAAATTCACTTAGCAGGTTATGTTAATAAATTATCCACATGTAGTACTCCACTCCAGGCTGCCCTGAAACAGGTGCTTGGATATATTTTATGTGCTTCCTTGTCTTTCTGATTTAGGACTACAGACTCAGAGCCCAGCAAAATAAGTATGCGCTTTACTCGCGGCATACAAGCAGCCTTTTTTGTTCCAGCAGCACTTCTCACATTTGATTATGCATGCGTAAGTGCTTTGCCAGACTGAGGAATGGCCACATCTTTTAATTACTGATTGCTTATGTATAGTATGCCTGTCACAATGAGCAACATGATCACTTACCCAGTGAAAAGGCTGAAAAGAATAACTACATAACAGAACCAGCCAGATACCATAACAACACAATTAAAAATTTAAGCAGCAAGCAGATAATTTAAAAAAAAACACACAACCACAACAAAAAAAAACCCAAACCCAAAAAACTTTAACTTATGAGGCAGGTTGACAATGACGCAAAGATTCTTCCTTCACAACAGCTTCATTTACAAGTATAGCTCAGCAAGTTTGAAATACTTTATCACAAGAACTACAGACTTGTTTATCACAGTTATGTCAGAGCTCCTCGCTGACGGGTGTGTCAGTTTCTATTATAGCCACTCCCCTCCTCTTCCCCAAGGTTTATTACTCAGCTGCTTGGGAAAAAGAGGGGATTGCTTGAGGCTTTAGAAAGTGCAGAGAATAAGTGAGATTTTCCCTTTAGAAAAAAAAAACCAAAACACTGAGAACTCTTAAGCGTGCAGGAATAACAAGAAATTGAGAGGGTCTGAAGTTTGGCATTTGATTTTAAAATGGCTATTCTTGATGTTTTCAGGTGTACAAAAAGGGAAGGGAGTTTTAACGTGGAAGAGCAGCTTTGCTGTATTAAAAAAAAAGTTATACCAACACACAAATACATTTTGGGACCATTCTTTAAAAGCATTGAACAAAGGCAAAATCACGCCAACTTGGACCATTCAGGAGCAACGTGCTTTTACACACAGCTCTCTCCTGTAACTCCACTTAGCCTGCAAGAATTTTGGCTGTAACTTCTGTTATGCATTGGCAGGGCAAAATCAAATAAGGCTCTGAACAGAGGATTATGAGGGCTGTCAAACTACGGGAAGAGTTTAGAAGTAACAGAACTTACAACTATTCAGTGTAGTACAGCTATTGTTCAAAATGTAACAGTTTCTTCACGGGAACCCTAACCTAAGACTTTTGACATGCGGTTCTCGCATTTGGTTCAAAGTTAACTTGTTCCTATGGCTTCTCTGCTATGAGATTGTCACTGGTACAGAACAGTTGGGGTCACAGATTGTCAGGAGTCTCTTTGGCTGTCAGTGTGAAAACCAGTGCATGGTGCATATCCTTGAGGCTTATCTGGTGCCTTTCACTGGACACGTAGGTTGTTAGAGCATGACCAAGAAGCAGATGGCTGGGAAGAAAGGCAAGACTTCAAGTGAAGCAGCAGAGTGATGCAGTCACCCGCTCAAAGCTTGGGCTGCTCTGTCAAGGAGAAGGTCAAAACAGAAACCACCCTCTGTACAGTCTTGAACCAAGTGGGCACAGAGCAAGAAAGCAGAAGACTCCACCACTGGTAGGGAACAAAGCCAAGCCAGATAAGACAACAAAAAGTCACAAAAGTGTGCCATGCTGGTCAGAAATTTCAGTTTTGACGTTATGTCGAGCTCCCACAGACAGACATATGCATGTGGGCAAGACAAACTGCGCTCTGTTTTGGCTTAAAAGCAAAAGGAAGATTAGAGCCATTTGGTTTGCTATGTACAACAATACTGCACTGTACACTTCATTAACGAGATGCTGTCTACTATAGTCCAGCATTACTTAAATAGAATTCCTCTGAATCAAAGAGCAACAGATGAGTATCTCTGTAGGAAGGAGAGCTAAAACCCACTGCCATGCGTGGCCGTACGTGGTGCCAGTCCTTCTGAGACAAACATAAGCAGTCATTCCACAGTGTCTAGTGCCTCCTTAGCTTGCCTGAAGCAGAGAACTTCCCCTTTCTTCTTCCAATCCGTTTGATCCCAACCCTCTCGGGACTATTCTAGCACAAAGCCATGCTATGACTTTCCCCCCTGTTGCCACAACATTCCCATCAGAACTACGCAGTCTCTTTCAGTAGTCCCAGTTTCCGAAGTGCCTCTCTCCTTGCTTCTTCTGTTGAGCCACGGCCAGAAAACTTTACTGTTATCCCTTGGGATCGAAATCCTGAAGGTCTAGGCAGTGAACCTGATCTCCTCCTCATATCCAGGTTCAGACTAGGTTGTTTATAATCATTAGAACTTTTTGCTGTGTTCTGCTGCACGCTGCTGACCTTGTTAGCAGCAAGAGCTACCTCTGGTTTGATTGTTACCGTTTTGCCCATAGGAAGGAAAGGGCTGGGCTCACTTTTTAAAATCTCATGGATGTTTTGATATCCATTGGGAACAGTGTCTGCCTGTTTGGGCTGCACATCAGGCTGCTGAGCGTTTGGGGCATGGTCCACTTGGTCCTGAGCTGGCTTCCCCTTAACTAGGCCAAGTTTTGTCAGGGCCTCATATCGTGTTTGCTCAGAGGAGAGATCCCTTAAGGAAGAACTTCTGTTACGTGACAAGAAATCACTTTTCTGCAGCTTCTCCTCCAGTTCAGCTGCCAGAAAAGCTCCTCCATTGATGTTGGCCAGCACCTGAGCTCTCCGCTCTTGGACATTAACTGCTGCTTTTGAAATAGTCTCATTGAATTCTTTGCCACTGACATTTGTTATGTTGATGTTGCTCGGGAACCGGTACAGTTTGGGTGCAGGTGCAGGAGGGTGCTTTGGAGCTGCAGAATAATCACCATTGACTACTGGGATCTTCTTGTCCAAATTCCCTTCCTTGAGGGCACTGGGGAAGCGCACCCTGCTCTCCGTCTGCTGCTCAGACATCTTCTGAGCCATGATGAGTGGAGTAGGGATAGAACGAAGTAATTTTGGATGCTGCACTGGAGGAGGGGGTAGAGGAGGAAGAGGAAGAGTCTCAGACATCGCTGGCGGTGGCGTAGGGGGATGTGGGGGAAGGTCAGCAGGTACAGCTGGCTTAGGGCTCTCAGTTCTCCAGGTAGCATTCAACACTTAAAAGACAAAGCATCAATAATGTCATTAAGTCTTCACACAGAGCAGAATACAAGGCTTTCTTTCACCTAGGTTTAGTAAGCATCAGTGCTCCCCTCCCCCCAACTTTCTAACTCAAACTCAGCCCACATTCCCAGAAGAAACTGTAACAGAACTACTAGCAATGACATCTTGTAGGCGATGCTATAAGTTCAAATCACCATAATTACAATGCATTCACTAGAAGCCCTCTTTCTGACATTCATTCACAGTCTCACATTAGTTTCACTGTGTTTCAATGGCTGCTTCTTCTGTAAGAGTTTTGCAATCCTTATTTTTTATTGCAACAGTCAGTAAAGGACACATTATGTCCCACTGTATGTACTAGCTGATAAATCCATTCTTCAAAAATGGAGAGAGCAGTCTACAGGGTGAAGATGACAATATGCCATATACTTTTGTCACAGACTCATTGATAGAATCGTGTGCCTTTCAGTCCCACATGAAGTTAACACTACAAACAATCTGCTGTCTTAAAACTCTTAGAGAAAGTGTTAAGAGGTCTTAGAGAGGAGCTGAGCATGAACACATTGATGAATACTAGCCTGCCATGCTGCGATGACTCTGCATAATATTCAGTTCTGTTACAACTCAGTCACCAGGTAGGGGACTGAGATAGCAGTCCAACAACTTAATCATATGCATGACCTCCATGAGGGGAAAACCAAGAAATAAAAAGAGTTCTAGCGACAGCAAGAATTTCAGAAATCCCATATCAAATTAAAATCATGGTCCTTAAAGGTCATGATGTGTAACACATTAATCTTGAGGTAATAAGGAAGGTACAGAATTTCTTTATCTGTTTCTAATGAGAACTGGAACACGTCAGGGCTAGGACAAAGGGAAAAACCCCCCACACATTTTCAAGAAATACCACTACCTGGTTCTGTATCTCTGCTAGGGGTGCCTTCATGGTCGCTACTCTCAGGTGTTGACTGTACTAAGTCGATGATATCTTCAGTCTCTGAATGACTGGACACATTTTCTTCTGTTGACCTTGGAGACTGACAGTGGATGCCACTATCATGTAGGACTGGCTCCTCCAAGTCATCTTCTAAGGCATCTATAGTTTCCTCAAAAAACATGAGAACATCCTGCTCTTCATGAGTTAAGTACTTCAGACTTTCATCATCCTGTGAAGGGAAAAGAAAACAGAAAAACACAATTAAAAAAGCCCAAAAAAACATTAACACCCTACAGGTGAGTACTGGTAAGTACACTGACAGCAAGCACAGCACCCCTTTTTGAACACAGAAAGAGGAAGGATGAAACAGGCAGCAGACATATCAGAAGCAACTCCTACTTCCAGTTTCATCCCTTCCCAAAGAAGCATTCAGCCACTACAATGCAAGGGAGGGGGGGGGAAAGTCAGGGGTTTACAGGGCATTCATTTTGACTGAAGAACAATAACTAGCACTTCACCCTTGTTGTGGTTTAAACCCAGCTGGGAGCCAAACACCAGCAGCTCATAATCCCCCACCCCCAGGCAATGGAGAGAGTTGGAGAAGTAAGTGTAAGGAGACTCATAGGTTGAGATAAAAACAATTTAATAATTAAGATAAAAATAATCATGATATTGTAATAGAAAATACAAACAGCAGGTGATGATTGCTCAACACCCTCTGACTGATGTCCAGCCTGTTCCCAGATAGCAGACTCCAGAAAAGAGAGAATCCTAAACCCACCATCCTGAAAACACGAGTGGAGCTTCCCAAATCAGCCCTCACCTATGTACTGAGCATGCTGTTATATGATATGGAATATTCCACTGGCAAATGTGGGCTTGTTGCTCTGGCTGTGCTCCCCCCAGCTTCTTGCATACCTGTGCACTAGCAGGACATAAGAAGTTGAAAAGTCCTTAATTTCTTAGCAACAGCGAAAAACATTAGTACTTTATCAACATTCTTCTCATATCAAATCCCATACTGAACCCAAAACACAGCACTATTCTACCTACTAAGAAGACAGGGAGACAAAAATCCAACCAATTAGCTCTATCTCAGCCAAAACCAGGACAATCCTTTAAAGTACCTAACTTCAGTTCAGCAGACAAGTCTCTATTTGAGTCAGACAAATTGCTAAGACAAAAAAAAAACCAAAAACGACAAAAGCAAAAACACTCCACACCTGTGCTTTTACAAGAGTTAAGATAACTTCTTCAGGCTCCAAACTTGAGTAAGCTGTTTCAGTTGCTGTGTCAGGTTCAGGGACAAGGCTTGGGGAGCAGCATGGGAGGGACAGGGTGCATTCAGGACAGTCCAGCAAATGGGCCTTTTGCTCTAGATCAAAGTGGGACTTGGCTTCTAGAGACAGAGCTGGAGCTGAAATCTGGCTTTACCACCACAAATCTCTGAATTACCCAGAGTTACACAGTACATTACAATGAAGTAATAATAAGGATGGAGAGTGTTTCTAAGGATTTTACCTCTGAGTTACAGAAAGGAAAAGTTTAGAAGTAGGAAAGGTAGGAAAAGTAAGATTGTTCCCTAGCAGTAAAGTGCCTTAGGCTATTTTCTCCAGCAGGAAACAATCCTGTAGACCACAGGAGTGATAAATAATCACCTGGATTATCCAGTCTTCATTTTCTATGAGTCACTGTTCTTGATTAACACCATATCACTGTGAGAAGCCAGGCTGCAATGTGCAAACTCTTTTCCCTCCACCTACACCCTGGGAAACACTTTTCCAGAAGCTTGGAGATGACAAAGAATGATTAAGAAAGGCACTACATAAAGACAATGGATACAGGAAAAACACTTCCCAAGAGAGCTGTGTAAATTCTGGAACGTAACTAAGTATTGTTGAAAAAGTAAGTGAGGTTTTCCCTTTTCTGGACTGAATTTCTCTCCCACCAGGCATATACTGGAAACTTTGCCATTAGTAACTTAACAAGAAGGCACCAGCAAAGCAATACAAGAGAGTTTCCTTTCTCATCTCTACTTTTCTCCAAGGACATGGACTGTGCATGCAGGTAAGGTAATAAGGCTGCTTCTCAATGGTGGATTGGGGAAATGTAGGTAAATACATAAAAGGTATGCAGTGCAAATATCCAAGAGGTAGACATGTTCTTGCTAGGGCAGCACAACTTGCTTCAAGCTCACCGTGCCTGTTCAGATCACCTTACATTAGATTAGAATAGAAGCTGTGTGCAGCTCTACCTATTAACTCTTTCCACAAACAAAGCTTTTATCCCCATCCCCAGCATTAAAAATAAGAGCAATGTACCTCAGTAAAAAAAGTAATGCCTATAGATTAAGAACTATGAAGTGCTGCACTGCACCAAGTCGCAGTTCGTCTCTAAGTGCTCAAAACACTACAAATGGGAGAAGCTAACTAAGCATTCATTTTCCCATGTGGCCTGTAGAACATTTTCCCTGTAATAAATGAATGACATACAGAAGACAGTCACACTGCCTTTCAGCCACTCCTAGTCCAGACACCTCAAGACAGGTTTGCTTATCTGTGGCTGCAATCATGTGAACATAGCAGGCTTCAGTCACAGTTGGCAGAGTTTTCTGTTAAAACTGAAGACTGAAGTCTTAGAGGCAAATACAAAGTTGGTTTCAACAACTACATGCTATAACTACATTCCTAGAGATCAGATTTATTGTCATCAGGGTGAATATGGTTTGATGGCTGCGAGATGCACACAGCAGTGTGGGTATTTGTAACTTAGTCCTATCATCCACAGGGTACTGTCAGAATAAGTAACTTATTCCAGCTTGCAGCAAAACTGCTATAAAAGTTTAAATTTGGATGCCATTTACAATTGCCTATTTAAAGGACTAACTTCAAAGGCTGACGTATTCCACAGCTTGCACCCACCACATGGCAGGACTCAGTTTTCAAAGGCCAAGGAAAGTTTTACAGCTGCACTTGAGAAGTGAGACACAGACAAGCCTTCCTTTTTTTTCTTAATGGATGTTGCAATCTCCTTCCTTCCCCACCCAAATACTCATATGGCTGCTGTGGCTCACAGGGGAGAGAATGACAGGAAAGGAGCTGTTGTTAGGTAGGCCCTAGCCGGAGCTGAACAGGACTCCAAGAAGCTTTTGTTGTGGGTGAGCTCATTGTATGAGCCAGACTTCCGCAGGCAAAACTAAAAAAAAAAAAAAGCAGGTTGTGTTTAAGAAGTTCATAGCGGCAGCAGATCCAGACAGTGGGGCAGTACAGAAATTATTGCACCACAATGTTCATGTAAAAGAACAACTGCTCTCAGATGAGCTTAACTCATCTGATCAAGAGATGAGCAAAACAGCACGTGAATTGAAGCAAAGACTTTCAGAAGCCCTTGCTTCCACCTGTTTCGGTGCTGCAGGACTGAACGCTTTCCCATGCCAGGTAAGATTTGCAGGAGGATTGGTCAGCAGAACTCTGCCTGACTCATCATCCCTCCTGGATCTTGCTGAAGTGAGCAGTTTCTCTTTAGGTGAAGGATCCGAAACGGGTAACCATCCCTTTGCAAATACTTCTGTAGTAAACAGCATACCTAGATGTGAAAAGCCAACCTCTGCTCAGTTAACACTTTGATCTCTTTCCTCATGGAGTTTCCCTTCAAGATGACAGATGTCACATTTCCTCAGAAAAAAAAACAAACAACAATAACAAAAAGACAGCAGCTCTAGAGAATGGACAGCATTATGGCAGTTCACCTTACTGATGTGCAGGGCATCCTACCTGGTTAGAAAACTTCTTCAGGCAAAGCATGTTGCATTTGGGGACAAGGAAATAATCCCATTTTAGACATACAAGCATAGTGAGGATAAACCTACTTAAGGTCAAACTAAAGTTGCTCAGATATGTAAAGCAAGCAGTCACTTGCTCTACCACTGGTTTGAGAACAGTGCTGTATTAGAAAAACACCCACTTGTATTACTTATAGCAGAGCTTTCAGAAAGATAGGAAGAATTTTGTTGTGGTTAACCAATGCCAGTTTTAACTAAGGTTACCAAGTCTATTTTTAATTAGTTTATTTCCCACATATTCCAAGTACTGGAACAGTTCATATTGTTTCTGGGCTGGCTTTCCAGGCCTCCTGTCTCCTTGAACAATCTGGGTTTTTAACAGACAAAGCACAGTCTTTTCAGCTACTTGAGTTATTCCCCTCATACTTTCCACCAACTCCTTACTCTTAATACACAAACAAGTCTCCCAAAACTAAATCTCACATACACCTAACACTACTGACTTTAAAGCTACTGTCAAAAAAACAATCTAAATTTGAAACTTAAAAATTGTGCCTTAGCTAAATATTAAAATAACTGCTTGGACAGAAGAAATTTGGGATGCAAACAGATGAAATAGCTGAGTATGCTCAGCTGGCATTAATATTTTAGATTTCTGTGCAGCCAAACAGTTCTTGCTTATGCCAAATAGGAAATGGTCTGTTATGACAGTGTTTGGTATAAACGAGGAAAAAAGAAATGAGAAAATAAAAGAATAACAGAATCTGTTTCATAGAAAAGATCCCTTTCCTACCTGTCCAAAATAGGATTAATATCAAGAGGCCCACAATTTTTCACGGGCATCTGAAGAAATTCTCAATGTCACATCCAGACCTAGAATCCCTAAGACCAGCAGAGTTTTGACAGTAACTGAACAGCAGGGGAAATCCCAAGACATCTGCGGTGGTAAAAAAAAAAAAAAAAAAGGCAAAACACTTTTCTGAAAACTGCTAGAGAACCAAATTTCAATTATGAAAATACCAGGAGAACACCAGATTCAAGTGATTTATCATCAATCACTTGACAGTGCCAAAGAATTAAGAGGCACAGTTCCATGGGGGAGAAGTGACTGGATGCTTCTCAAACAAACATGAAGGGAGCAAACTGTTCTAATTTGTAGTAGAAAGAGACCCATAGAGCACCACTCAGCCTTAGTCTGTTAATAACAAAGCAGGCACTTCTACCTGTAAAAAGAACAGGGGTGGGGGAAGAAAGCCCTGTATGCAGGAACAGTATCAGAACAGGTACAAAAGCTTCAGCACTGAAGAAAAAGGCAAGCACCTCTGATCATATTTACAGAAAGGGAAACGGAATGGATCATACCCCCATGCTGCTTAAATTGGAAGCAAGTAAATTACAGATAAGAACAAGAACTACCATACAGAATCAGACCAAAAAGTCCATTTAAT